TAAGGTAATGTTTCCCAAAAAGGGCTTCCATTCCATAAGCAAAAATGTGTCTACTTCAGGGGCTGTTTTCAGAATGTGAACCCAAGGGGAGTCCTTGCTGCTCCTGTCCCTTTCCAGAGAGAGGGTCTGTTGGCTCTGAACAGTCAGCACTGAAATAAAATGCGGTGGTCCTCTTTCACAGCCTCTTAACCCTCCAAATTTAAAATTTTTCACCATCAGCTGACGCTCTAATTTATTCTCAGCCTCTAGCAGGATGGTCTTTAATGTGAACAAGGTCAGCTGCAGAAAAATGTCAGCCCCAGCCACTGGCCTAATGCCAGGGGAGAGGGGGGCAGGGAGCAAAGCTGAAGGACTAATTCTCATGAAGACATCACAGATCTCTGCAAGTTTTCTCCATTTGAAATGGCTTCCTGTGCAGCTCCCAAATAGTTCTCTACTTTCCAGTGTTCTTGAACTTGGGCCAGGGTTCTTTCTTAGTGCCTGCTGTTCTTATTCTATACTGCACTTGAGCAGAAATGTTTCTTTCAGTAGAGCAAGTTCTTTCAGTTTCATCATAAAGCATGAGGATGGCAAGCCAGAGAGAGATTCCTTTATTAGTCACCTAGCTGGGCTGAAATTCCAGACACAAAAAGCCAAGGCCAGTTTAGCTTCATTAGTTTCATTATTGTCTGGGTGGCTCATGCTGACGGGATCGAGAAGAGGCATACTGAAGATTTTTAAACCAGTTGTTTGTAAATGCTTTTAAAATCTCTGCCCAACTTAAAAAAAAAAACCTCTTTAGAAAACTCTCTGAATCCTGTCCCCAAACATGAAGGGGCTAGGGCGGTGGCTCAGTAGTAGAGTTCTTGGCCTAGCATGTACTAGGTCCTGGTTTCCATCCCCAATGGGGGAAATAAGAGCATTTCCAAGGCTTCTTGGGGCTAAGGGGAGGTGACATTTACTGAGGGTCTCTTTTGTACACTGTGTTACTTCGTGATACATATTGTCTCAATCCTCTTCTCAGCTCTAAAAGTTAGGTAGTGTCCCTATTTTTTTTTTGAATGGAGACAGACTCATCAAACAAGCTCAAAGAGGTTAGGTAAATCGTCAAGAATAACACAGCCGGAGTATTAAAATCAGATGAACTTTGTCTTTAAAATTTGTAGAAATAACGTAAGCAGGTGGTGAAGAGTTCAAAGTGTAGAGGGGAATAACAGTTCCTAGAAACAAGCACTATATCGCTTGTGGTATGTGTCTAGAAATGTTTATGCAAATTCAAATAGAAATATATTGCCTTTTTATACATAAACTGGGATTGCTCTGCACTTTTTTCTCTTACTGCTTTGGAAATCTTCCCATGCCCACTTCTTTTAGTAGCTATATTGTATTTCCCTGGTTCCTACTGCCATATATACGGTGGGACATTTAGGTTTTTCAGATTCTTGCTCTATTTCATTGCACTATCACTGAGCCACCCCTCAGCCTTCATCTCTTCTCATAGTCAATCAAGTACTAACCAAGATAACCAGGCTCCGTTCAAATGTGAAAACTGACTTCATACAGATCATGGAACTGTTAGTTCTTTCTGGTTTGTATGACCAACCTTCCCTCCCCCACAACCTCAGCAGACTTGAGGAGTCTAGACTTTTCCTAAGCATCAAATCCAACATCAGCTGAGGGGTCCTGCAGGGAAGGCCCACCTAAGCAGGAGCTGGAAGCATGTCTGGATCGGAGATAGGCACTAGCCTCACAAGGGCAGGGATGTGTTTCAAAAAACTGTTCATGCCCTGCAGCAGCTCTGCCACTCAGATACCTACCTGTGCATGAGGTGTGCATGCATGCACACACACAGACACACACACACGCACACACACACACCACCACCACCAGCAGCATCCTAACTTCTAGCCCTGTGGCTCAAACGCAGTACCCAGCTTTATCTGCTACTGAGAGTCTGAACAAATTTTGTCGAAGAAGACATTCTAAATAGAAGCACTGTTTCAAAAAGCCTGTTCTTTAGCAGTGTGTGTTTAAGCACAGGTTATCTTTCCAGTGACAGTCATACATACACCTACATAGAACTCTGGGGCTCCGTCCCCTGATTAAAATGGAATGACTTTCAAAATGGGTTGTTAGGGCTTTGGTGGTGGCTTGTCATTTTTTTTTCTGTTTAGGTGATTTCTTTAGAAAGAAACTTTCACTATTAAGGCTTAATTTACGAGACACCTGCCTCTTTTCCTAGTTTCTTTCAAAGGGTGCCTGTATCTTGCTGGAGGAGTGGCTCAAGTGGTAGAGCACTTGCCTAGCAAGTGTGAGGCCCTGGGTTCAAACCCCTGTAGCACCATAAATTTTGCTGGGGGTGTGGCACAAGAGGTAGAGCTTGCCTAGCAAAGGATGCATTATGTCTTGTCAAGAACAAAAACCAAGGTGTCATAAATGCCTATAAGGGGCTGAGGTAGTATAGCTCAGTGGTAGAGCCCATGAGGCCCTGGATCCATCCCCAACACCAAAAAAAAAAAAACAGCCTATAGGAGGTCAAAGGGAGGGTGCTGAAAGGGACAGAACACATCAGTCTGTTCAGAACAGGAGCAGACAGCATACATACAATGGCAGAGTCTTAGATAAGACAGCCAACATTTGAAGGCATGTAGGAGGGTGTAAATTACCTTTCCATAACAATACCCTACATTTGCTTAGCACTTCACAACTTTAAGTTTTTTCCCCATAAATCACTGCGGCTGACAGTTCACTGCTCATCAATAGCCCTTGATTCCCCACTCTGATTTTGCTCCGGGGTTAGCGTTAGGCCGCCTGGCCAAGGGGATGAATCATTGACTGTTCCAAGACAGTGGTTTACAACCTTGGCTGCAAGGTAGAATCGCCTGGGAAGCTTTTACAGCTCCCAATGCTTGATTGTGGGAATGTCACCCTAGACCAATTAAATCCAAATCTCTGGACTGGGAGTGTAGATCAGTGATACAGCACCTGTCTGGCATGTGTGAAACCCTGTGTTTGATCTCCAACACCAAAATAAAATAAAATAAAAAATCTCCTGGGGTGGAGCTCAGTCATTGGCATACAAAAAACATACCCAACTCCTCAGCAAACCAGATGCAGTGGCTCACATCTATAATCCCAGCTACTCAGGAGGCAAATAGGAAGGATCGAAGTTCCAGGCCAGCCCAAGAAAAAGTTAAGGAGACTCCCATCTCAACCAATAAAGGCTGGGTGTGGTGGAGCTAACTGAGAAGCATAAATAGAAGGATCATGGGCCAGACGGGCCAGGGCATAAATCCAAGATTCTATTAAAAAAAATACCTAAAGCAAAAAGGGCTGGGGGGGCGGGGCATGGCTCTACAGCACCTGCCTGAGTTCAAAACCCAAGTACAGCCAAAAAAACCAAAAAATCTTCTCAGCTAGGTGCACAATAGTAGTTCCCCGTTATCCATGGTTTCCTTTCCTTTCTTCCTTACCTCACCCCAGCTAGCATTCCATAAGTGTTAGTAAAAATGGAGGGGGAATGTGAAAGGTTCTGGGAGATTGTCATGTCTTAAAACCATAAAATGCAGCAGCACTGGTGCAGGGGAGGAGTTCTCTGAGCCCAGTGAAGAAGGGTTAGGGACCATTATGTTCCATCCCTAAATACAGACTTAGAAGATGAAAGGATGTTTTTGTTAATGTGTGACAAGTCACCCTGTACCTTACCTTTTTTCACTCTGGAAACACACACTTCCTGGTAATTACAGAAACTGACTTGATTACCGGCAGAAAAGCTACTTAGCCAGCTTTCAAAATCACTCTGAAACCCTGGCTCTATTAACCCACAAAATCAGTCTTAAATCAGTCTTCATTAACATCTTTAACCTTTGTCCTTGGAGCCCATCCCAGGGGAGTGCTGAACTACACTACATAATAATGAATGGAAACTTCAGTCACTTCCGCCCACCCTGCAAAGCTTTTCCTCCTCCTCTGGTCAGCACAGTCCAGAAGGTTCGGCACCCTTCCAACTCACACAGTGTTTGGGGAAATGCATTCCCATGCTGCTAACTGGATTCCTAACGTCAGCATCATGTGGGACAATCCCATGCTACACGCGTCCGTTGACCCCGACACTGAACACATTTGGAATTCATTCAAGGCCCACTTTAGGTATGTACTTTAAAATTTTTAAAAAGGGGAGGTGACTCTTCATGAACTGCTACTGCGAATCTAAGGTCCCATCTGTGGAAGGGATGCGGTGGAGTGGGGGAAACCCAGCCCTGAGGTCTTATCGCACTAGAGGAAGCCGACCAGGCAGCTTTTGTGACCAGATGCAAAGGGTATATGGTCAAGTACCTTGCAAACACCAGCCACTGGGAGAGAGGGGAGGGGGAAAGGAAGGGAGGAAAAGGGAAAAAGCAAAGTCCGTTATAACAGGGCCTGCGACACACAAATGTACAAAAACTGTTGCAAGAGCTGCCAGACTGTGCCTGGTACTTGGTACTCAGAAGGACACCCTGGAGCCTGAGCAGAAGGGAGACGGAGAAGAAATATGAAACAAAGATTAGAGAGAGGTGGCATTAAGGACACGTTTCCACCAAATCTTGCTTTTGACTTTCTCTATGCCAGCAGACACCAGGACACAAAGTTGCCCCACCGAACAAACTGGCATCAGTTAGTTTCACAACCATCAATCACAACGGGTTCCCTAAAACTTCTACTATTCATGTCAATTCCCAATGTCAAGTTCTATTATGACTGCTTCAGACTGACTCTGCTGTCCTCAAATCTCAACCTCAACTATACTTAAACGTTCTCTAGCCTCAGAGTAGTCCTCTGAAAAGGTAGATCGCTACGTTGGCAAAATCGATGAATCTCCTAAATTTTACTAGCAGGATTTCCCCACCCTCTTGGACCTGACCTGATAGCAGGGATTGGGGACAGCACCATCCCTGTTTTCCCTCCCCCCTCCCCCGTTACAGGCCATTTCAGGTTCACTGAAGACCCTTCCACATACCCTGCCCTGCCCAGGGTCACCTTACCCAGATCCGCCCCAGGGGCGGGAGTAAGGGGTTACATGGTGCCTTAGGCCTCCATCTCCAGTGTCGTCTCCTCTTCCCTGGGGGGCTCCGCGTCGCCCTCCTCTCCGCTGCGAGGGTAGGCCAGCAGACGCATGGCTGGCGCGCAGGCAGCTTCCACCTGGCGCACCTGCTCTTGGCTCAGGCGTTCGCGCCAGGCATGCACAGCCTCGCGGGCGTCGCGCGCCGACAGGTGGAAGGGCCGATCGGCGCTGTAGGCCGTGCCGCGCGTCATGTTGAGTGCGAAGTCATGGAGAGCGGCGTGGGAACGCAACCCGGAGAAGCTCAGCAGGCGGCGCAGCTGGGCGCGGGGCTGCTGCACCAGGTCCTCGTAACGCAGCCTCAGGTAGCGGCGCTGCAGCCAGGTGGGCGCGCCGCGCGCGAAAAGCAGGTCGCGCAGCCAGGCCTCGCAGATCACCTCAAGCGCGCCGGTCAAGAAGAAATCTGCACGCGCGGAGGGCAGCGCGCGGGACTGGGCCCCAGGGCGAGCACCCACGCCGTGCGCCAGCAGCGCGCGGTGGAAGCGGTCACCCCTCTGGCGGGTGCGCAGCACCTGGATGCTCTCCCGCAGCAGCCCCTGCTTAGACTTGAGGCGCGAGTTGTGCACAGCCCGCGGGTCGCGGAAAAGCTGCACCACCTTCAGATTGAGGCCGGGGTCACGCAGCAGGGGCACCAGCACACCCAAGTCTAGCAGGCGCACGTCCTTGATGACCACCACTGGGTACTTGCGGCACTCGTCCTCCAGAGCGCGTAGTGCCACGGGTGGGCAGCTGCGCTCACAGGCGACGTCCTCGATGAGGCCCACTTCGTCGCGGGCACGGGGCGCGCCGGGGCACAGCGGCGGTGAGCAGATGACCTTGTTGGTCCGCCAGCGGAAGAGGGCGGCCGTGGTGAGATTGGTTGGGTCCGTGAGACCCGCAGGGTTCCCCTGCAGCGCGTACAGCCGCAGCACCGAGAAGTCGCAGCGGAAGAGCGAGCGCAGCATGTCGCGCAGCGCGCCCTGCAGGCTCTCGGCATCGCCCGGATACAGCGCCTGCCACAGATGCCACATGGGCTCATACAAGTAGAAAACGTCCGGGTGCTGGTTAAAGAGCTCGCCCAGGAAGGACGAGCCGGTGCGCCAGGTGGCATGCACATAGATGTGTTGTTTCTCGTGAGCCACAGCCTCCCCGACGGAGTTAAAGTTGCCTGGGGCCTTAGAGGACTCGCCCGTGTCCCCAACGGCGGCGGGCCGCGCCTCCGCGCCCTGCTCGCGTTCTCCAGCCGCCGCCGCCTCCAGGCTCCACACTCCCAGGCTGTGGTGCAGGCCGGAGCAGTGTCCGACGCCCTTGTCCTGGTCGCGGCTGCCGTCCAGTACGGAGGAGACGAGTAGCAGCATCAGTGTGTACAGCACCAACAGCAGCGCAAACTTGCAGTACTCTCGGCGTCGCCGTCGCCGCCCCTTCATCTTTCACCGACCCCCCCCAGGACGGTCAGACGCCAGTCCTCTGCCCGTCCCCAGAAATCCAGCCCCGAATCCGCTCCTTCAGCCCCTGGGCCTCTCTGTGCCAGAAGGAGCGAAGCCGCCTAGGCTGTGCATCCACAAGAGGAAACTTGCCAGGCGGTGGGGCTCATGACTGCGCCCCTGTCCCCTTGGCTCAGCCTCTGGAGAGCCGCCTATTGGCTGACTTGGCAGCCGTCCGCCCCGCCTACAGCCCCGCAGCTTCTCCCCGCCTTTCGACCCACGGGTTCGCCCACTGCTTGGCCAGATCTGGGCGGGGCTGCGGCAGACCGGGGACGCACTACCAAGCCAGACCCCACCTTTCCCCAGCCCCTCCCTAATGAAGTCTTCAGGAATTGATTTCAGGCAAGGGAGGGGCTCCGTGTGTATAGAATGTACCTTGTGATGGGACATGGACCCCATCCGGAGAACTCCACTGCCCCTTCTGTTTCAGGTCCCCTGCCTGGGTATCTCTGTCCTAGGCAAGTGATCACTTGCCAAGATCTACATCCGGCGCCCCCATCAGCCCTGGTGTGGGTGTTATTGAAGTCTGGATGTCCTTCTAGCCACTTATTCATGTCGCCCCTATTCGTCAACCTCCTTTACCACTTTCCCACATTGGCCTCCATTTTTATATTCAGCTAAGAGCTGCCAGGCCATTATTTTAACAACACTCCCACCAATAAATTAAACTCCCTTGTCCTCTGTCTTTTCTTTACTCATCTAGCACCCTCCCCCCAACCCCGCTTTTGGTTTTCTCAGTACCTGAAAGCACTATTGCAAAAAGTTTCCCCACAGGACAGATGGACATCAAAAGAAATTCATGATCATCAACCTCAGATGGTCCACAAAATCTCATGTCACTTCCCACCCTCAAGTCCCATTGTGATTATTTCAAACTTTCTACTCTTCTCCGACCCTGGACACACCCCCCCCACACACACCCTCCCCCGCCTTTCCCATTTTTCTCAACAGATAACCTTACCTCTTACTTCATAGACCAAAAGAAGTCATGTTGGATGATCCCACACTTTCCCACTACTACCAGACCCACGGACCTACTTACCTGTGTCCTCATCCTCTCTTTTGTAGCAAGGATGTTGTTTTCCAATATTAATTTATAACTCCTTATGTTTTTTTTTCTTTTCCCTTCTCTTTTAAGCAAGTAGGTGGTTTTATGTTCACCCCGGGGGAGGGATGTGTCTGAGAAGAATGCAAACAATTGCTGGTATTTACTGTAATCCTAGCTACTTGGGAGGCTGAGATTGAGAGGAGAGGATTTGGTTCGAGGCCAGCCAGGGCAAACAGCTTGTGAGATTCCATCTCCAAAATAACCAGAACAAAAATGGACTGGAGTTATGGCTAAAGTGGTAGAGTGCCTGTTTTGCAACCATGAAGCCTTGACTTTAAACCCCAGTCCCACCAAAAATAAAAAAAAAAACTAGGCTAGTGAGTTTATAGAATACACAAGACCAACAAATGATACAGCCCCCTCACCTGGATCACATAAAAGGAAGAGCACCCAACATTGGGCTGTGGCAACACCCATTGACCCATCAGCAGACCATCTACTATATGTTTCATGGGATTGACAGGCAACGAACTCCTGACTGTGTTCTCAGGGCTTCAGCTTAGCGTCATCCTCCTGCTTGATTAAACCCACTAGAATTTCTTTTCTTCAGGATCCAGAAAGCTTTGAACTAGCTTTGTGCCTGACACAGGTCTGCACTGCCTTGTGCCAGAACAGCTCTGTGACTGGGTTCCTTATGTTAATATCTTATCTAACCACCTGTGTGACTCTGCATCTGTATTAGCTCTCTGCCTCTGCTTTCATTAAGGCCACTTTAAACCCCATAGCCACTTTAACCCTTTCTTAGCCATTCTGTAACCTGTATTTATCATTGTGTGAAGCATAACGTGTGATCTGAGAGTTAATATTAGTAATTAAGATCAGAATAAGGACTAGAGGCGTGGCTCAAGGGATAGAGTACCTGCTTTGCAAGCACAAAGCCCTGAGTTCAAACCCTAGTCCCATCAAAAAAGATCAGAATAAAATGTCCAAGCATGGTGGTACATGTCTATAATCCCAGCTACTTGGAAGGCAGAGGAAGGAGGATCACAGTCTGAAGCCAACCCAGATTAAATTCTGAGATGCTATTGGAAAAAACAAACTAAAAGCAAAAGGACTGGAGTATGGCTCAAGTGGTAGAGCACTTGCCTAGCCATTGTGAGGCCCTGAGTTCAATACGAATAAAAGTATCTTTGATTACCAATAGCCACAAATACCAAGTGAAATCAGTGGTACTTGGTGAATTAAAACAAATGAAATTGATGTAGCTTGTGAATTTAGTGCTATTCAATAAATTCTGACATTGCAGAAGACACAAACGTGTCTGTCTACATTTCTTACATAGCTTGCTGATGACAGACATCTCAGAATATCACATGAAATGGGGTAAGTGTCAAGTATTATAAACTTCTATCATTGTTTAATCTCATTTAATATTAGAATATCAAAAGTCCTCAAGACTCAGCCCTACTCCCTTTCTTTTTACTCTGGTCTCTTCAGTGCTTGAAGATCAACATCTCTAGCCGAAGCCTGTCCTTGGGGTTCCAGGTATAGAAATCCAGTCACCTGCTTGATATTCCTTTCCTCTTGGCTGCTCAAGGTCACGTCAACTTTGATATGGATAAAGATCCAAATAATTAATGCTTGTGAATTATGTTGTTAGGGGTTTTGCACATGGTGTCAAGCACATGGTAGGTGGCCAGACAACAAATGCTTATTGAGCACCTACTATGTGCGTTTTGAAGGCAAACCAATGATGATTTTTCTTGAGAGAGTCATATTAGCAAAAATGACTCTCCAGCATTACCTTACTGGGGGTCCAGTGGATTGGGTTTGAGGCAGAGAGACCTGCTGGTACAGAAGTGGAGAATTTAAAGTGGGTGGCAGCTGGAAAGGGAGGGAGGGACAGAAGTTGGAAAGGCAGAATGTGCATGCTTGGTTGAGAAAAATTGTGACGAAGGTTTGGAAGTGGGAAAAATTATTCCTTCTGATTAATTTATTCTGGTACCATTTTTGTTTTTCATGATGTTTCCAGAATTATAAGAGGATTATGGTCCAGGCATAATTGTGAGACCCTATTAGAAAATACCTAAAGCAAAAAGGGCTGGGGTCAAGTAGTAGAGCACCTGCCTAGCAAGCACAAGGCCCTGAGTTCAGATCCCTGCACCGCAAAAGAAAAGATTCTGGGTTTAGGATTAAGGTGTACACACATACAAGCAGGCACACACACACACACGCACACGCACACGCACACACATTAGATACGTAATATTATTTACTTAATATCATGTTGGATTGTGTTTGCTTATTTTTTATTAGTATTTTTGTACCAATAAGTGATATTAGTTTGTAATTTTCTTCATCTTCTCTTTATCAGGCTTAGGTGTCAAGATTATACTTCCTTTGTAAAAAGAGGGTAAAGAATTACCATGCTATGGAACAATTTATGTAGCATTTAGACAAGCTTGTCTGTGAATATTTGGCAAAATTCCTCTGTGAAACCATGTGGGCTCGCTGTTTTTTAATGGAATATTTGTTTTATAACTTTAAAGAAATTGATTTGTTTAAATTTTGTTTCTCTAATGAGGCCCATTTAGCAAATATATTTCCTTGGAAATTATACATTCCGTCTATGCGCTCAAATTCATTTGCACAGAGGTCTACAGAGGTCTCTTATAATTTTAATTTTTCCATGTCAATGATTATTTTCCTCATGTCATTTCTGCTCTTGCATTGGTCTCCTCCACCCAATACCCCCTTGAAATACTAGATGAATTACTGCGAAGATCAGGAACAAGGTAAAGTTACCAATTATTCCCACACACCTATTTAACATTAAACCAGAGGTATCAGCCAATACATTAGTGGTTTGTATAGTTTACTAAATTTTTTAGGAAATCAGGATTTTGATTTATTACTATACCTCTTATCTGTTTTTTATGTCATTAATTTCTGCCTTTATCTTTATTGTTTCCTATCTGTGCTTTTTTTACTTTGTTGTTTTCCTAGTGTTTTGAGTCAGGAATTTAGTTTATTTCCTTTTGTTGTCATTTTTATCGATATTGGCATTATCCATTTGCTTATATTTATTTGATTTTGTTTGAGGATATCACTTCTTTAGTTACATCCCATAGATTCTTTTATGTAGTGTTTTCATTAGCATTGTTTTTAAAAATTCTATAATTTCATTTTTTGTTTCCCTTTCCTCCCAAGAATTGGGAGGAAAATGAAGTATTTAAGAAGTACTGTATTAAGCCAGGCATGGTGGCATGCACTTGTACTCCCAGTACTCAAGAGGATGAGGCAATATGTTTAAGAGTTTGAGGCCAGCCTGGGATACATGGTGACTTCTAGGCCAGCCTAGGGGGCACAGCAAAACCCTGTCTGAAAAAGAACAGTACTATATTAATTTTCTATTGCTACCATAACAAATTACCTCAAATATAGTGGTTTCAATAATATAAATTAACTATCTTACATTTGTAGGAGTCAGAAGTCTGACATAGATCTCATCAAGCTAAAACCACTATGTTAGAACTGTATTCCTTTCTGAGGGCTACAGAAAGAACTAGACTCTAGGTTTTGGTTTTTTCCCCCAACTTTTAGAGGTAACCTGCACTTCTTATCCATTGTCCCACTTCCTCTCCTTTCAAAGCCACATTCTTCTGATCTTTCTTCCCTCATCTAATGTCTGACCATGATCCAGAAAATTCTCTTTTAAGGATTCATGTGATTATATTGGGTAATCCAGGATCATCTCCCACTTCAAGATTCATACTCTAATCACATCTGTAAAATTCTAATATATATATATATTTTTTTTTTCCTGGGACTGCTGTAAAAAAAATCGCCACAAACTGGCTGACTTAAAAAATAGTAATTTATTTCCTCATAGTTCTGAAGTACTGAAGTCTAAAGTCAAGGTGTGAG